AGCAAAGTGAAAGGACAAAAACTTGCAAGAAATATAGTCAAGCCTGCAGCACGCAATATGATTTTGAGGGCTTCTGCTGTTGTTGCCAAGTGCTAGGCCGCCAAAGTGCCATAGCCCAAGCGGGCAGAGAAGAGTCCCGGGCACAAGACTTGCGTAAGCTGCCCAACAAGGCGTCACTTGGGTACAAGGCCTATTTCTCCTGCGCAGGCTGCAATGCTACCACACACGTAAAAGATTTATGTATGTTTCAGGTCAAAAATGAAATGAATACAAATGGATGTGTAGTCAAGGCCTCAATAAGTCTGATTTCTTCACACGTTGCAAAGTTTTGTGATACCAGTTCTTATGCTAAGTGACTTTCCTTTTCTATACTTTTGGCAAACATTTGCATATCAAGTGGGGCTAAGTGGAGGAGGCCACTTGATGCAGACAAATTTAACGCTAAATCTCAACTTGCGGGAAGATGATGCAATCGATATGCGGCTAACATGTCTGCGAGTGAATCCTCCGAGGTGCGAATCTTCACCAAGCCTGGGGCCTCGCCACACCTTGACGGAACACGAGCACCAAGCTGGCGCCGACGAAGTTTCGAATATTTGTCCACCGCGTCGTCCGACCAGACGGTTTCCTTGCAACCGGATGGTGGGGTCTCGATGACATGCGCTATCTGGCCGGGTTTCTGCGACTCCGTCGGCTGGTACCAACACTCCTGCACCCACTTGGAGGCATCCGTGTCACTTGCTTTATTGCAGACTCGGCCTGATACGATTGCCAGAGGCCGGCCCACGAGGGCCAGTTTGAGGTCACGGAAGAGGGGAGAGAAGTGCCATCGTCGTGTTTTGATGCTATCGGATAACTCGGCTGTGAGGTCTATGGAGTCTCAAGCTTTTCATGCTTTGTTGCCTAGGCTAATTTGTTTCCTATCAATGCATCCGGTCATCTTCTACGGTAGGTCAACGTTGTCAAAGTCGCTCTCATTTTGTCGTCCAGCGCACCCTTCACTTCATCGGTCTATCGAAGCTCTCCGTCTCCATGACGCTGGTGTTACTGGCTAGGTTGAGAGGAGGCAGGAAACCCTAAAGAATGGCATTCTTGATAGACTTGAAGGATGAGCTTACCAAGACATCACTTAACCAGGAGAGGCGGAAACGAGTGGGAATATTCGCAGAACTGGTAGTTGATTTTCCCACAATGATATGAGTTGGGCTGTCATTTCCATTCAATTTTACATAACCTTGCTTCCTCAAAAGGTGTTCTCATCCAGGCTGAGGTGGACTGTGGTTTCGACCTCGCCTAGGTCTAAGCATCACTAAGCGGGAGTCGAACCGTGACAGTGCAGCGTGTAAGCTCGACACGCTAACCACTACGCCACACGACAATTAGTCCCTTTAGGCCACAGGGTAGATACACATTTCAAAGAAAGCCAGGCATTTTTCAGATCACATTCTGTGTTGTGATTGTCGATGAAGAAAGCCTATATTTGCAATAGCAATCGACAATATTACTTTTTTCGTAAGTGAGTTAGTTCGTAGTAGTTAGTCTACAAAACCAACTCACGAAAAAATTAATGTCGTCGATTATTATAGCAAATATAAGTTTGCTTCATCGACAATTCCAGCACAAAATGTGATCTGGAAAATGACTGGCCTTCCTGTGACCCAAAGGCACTAATGGTAGTGTGGCGTGGTGGTTAACGCTGCATCGCCATGGCTCGACTTCTGTTTGGGATGTTAATAAGATGTAGGCGAGGTCGAAACTACAGTCCACCTCAGCCTGGATAAAAACACCTTTTGAGAAAACAAGACCATGTGAAATTTAATGGAAACGTCAGCTCAACTCATATCGTTGTGGGAAAAATCAACTACCAGCCCTTCATCACCTTAAATGAAATAGGATGAATACAATTCATATACCGGATTTACTAATAGTCTCAAAAGCCTACTCACCCTTGCCATTTTGTCCTCTCTGGATCCTATACAGACGGTAGACATCGCCCGGCTTCTGTAATTCAAAATACAATTTCTCAATTGTTTGGCTTATTTACATTTCGAGTGAAAGTGTTTGGTGAAGAGATTCGATGGTCGATCCAACCAGAAGACGACAGTGGATTAATTTTGACTGCAACATTCTGGTTGATGCTGTTTCCGAGGTAATCTTCTTCAATTCCGGTGCAATAGTCAAGAACTCGTTAGCATGAATTTGGTTGTAAAGAGGATGCACTGCTCTGATGCTGTTTGTCATACGATGGACGAAAGCCTTGCTCCTTTTCACCTGAATCGGAGGAGATTACCTCGGAAACACCGTCAACAAGAATGTTCCAGTAAAGCCAATCGAATCTGCTGTCGTCTTCTGGTGGGATCAACCTTCGAATCTCTTCATCGTACACATTACTTTATTCAGACTTTTCTGTCATTTAATAAACACCTATTCTGGAAGAATTGGTAAGTTTGTCTAACCCCAATGGAGTGAGAAATTTTATGTGAAGAAAAGCTGGGTTTTGAGGAATCTCTTGGTTGATAACTTTTGAGCTCACTTCAATTTCGAGTGAAAGTGTGCGATGAAGGGATTCGAAGGTAAATCACATCAAAAGACTATCTTGAATTCGTCTTTGTCAGTTGTCGATTGGCTTTCTTTTAGCATTTTTGCTGACGCTCTCTCTGGTGAAAAAGTGCTAAGCCTTCTTGCGCCAAATGACAGACATCATTAAACAGGCTATAATTATTATAACCTTATCCAAATTAACAAGTTAGCAAGACTCACCGTCTTAACCATAGATGCTGCATGTATGCCTTATAAGTATACTTTTTAGTTGAAGAATAAAGTGATTTGTTAGTTCAAGTTATACGTCAATCTCGAAACATTACTTTGAGCTATCACCGCTGGTTTGATAAATAAACGAATATATGAAGCTACACAAGAACTCACAAGCAGACACACATACATGCTTTAAGGTTGGCATATAATCTGAACTATCAAAACCACTTTATACCTCACCAAAAAGCATAGATATAAAGTGAGTTTTATTGACTCGTTAGCCCGAATATGGGTGTAAAAACGATACTTGGCTAGGATGATATTCATCATATGACGTCCGAAAGCTTATCACGTTTTAACCGGAATCGAAAGAGATTGCCTCGGAGACAGCGCAAACAAGAATGTTTGAGTAAAGCCAACCGGCAGTTGACCAAAAGGAATCCACCTTCGTCTTTTGGTGGGATAGTCCTTCGAATCTCTTCACCTCAAACTTTCATCCGAAATGAAATTGAGCTCAACAATGATAAAATTATCATAAATTATGTCAAAATGTGTGCCCTTCTAAATCAAAAAGCCTTATATCAATTGCAGAGATCTCCCCAAAGTTGCCCAAATGGATGGAAGGCTGGATTAATAGAAAAACCGTTACAACAATCTGCTGAACTTTATGATTCGAGCAAATAGCAGGTGTCCATATCGCTTACATTTAGCGATGCTTGATGAGATAGTTGGGCTAGTACATTTGGCATGCCTGTCTTGAAATCGAGAAATAATTGTGTAACCTTCTTTGGTAGCGACTGGGGGGAGGCAAGGCTGCAAATCATTCTGGAATTCCCATAAAAGTATCTTTCGATTTATAACACCTGACCACTAGTTGCGAATCTTGGATATGTTTTGGCTCACAATTACTCCGTGAGTGTATATGAAGAAAATCTGGGCTTTTGTTTATTATTTATTATGACATGACTTTTCATTTCTAAGGAAAAATTGGTTCGAAGGAATTCGTGAATGTGTTTCGCTGAAATAAAAAACGGATTGTTTGGGCGTAAAGACTGTGGAAGTGTTGTCAGCAGATTGTATTTGGTGCGCTATTTCGCAAATCATTATGTTCGCTTTGACGATGTTTGATATGTGGAGATAGACAAA